CTTCTAATAAAGAATACATTATTATAGACACCCTCATTAACTTGGACGGCAGCTGTCTGCGGTTGAATATATTTTTTTTCACAGTCCTCTTTTCTTTTCCCACCTCGATGTTTGGCGTGCAAAACATGCAATTTTGTGGGTCCGGCATAGCGCAGCTGAAAACGCGCGTATGTGTTTTGTAAACTCGATCCGGCGTTTCGTCAAAGTAAAACCCAAATGGAGCAAAATAAAGGGCGGAAATGGGTCGCTTGCATGCCGGTGCGAATGGCTGCGTATTAATTAAATTAATGGGTAGTCGTAGCCAGTGGCAATGGCGGGTCATTGGAGCCACGATCGTAGCCATATACACGGGTGACACTATGCGGGTATGCTATCCTTGCGTTATTGTATTTTATTGTTTTGACCTTTTTTCATTTGTTGTTTTAAAAGAAACAAGCATATATCAAAACCCGTAGTGTCATCGGAGTAATACCGTTGTCATGTAATTAAATTATTTACTAATTGAAAGTAGAAAAAAAACCGGTCTTTTTCATTAAAAAAAAAAACAGCAAAATGTTTTAATTTGTTATTGAAAATTAATCTTCATATTTTTTTTTACATCAAGTTTTATAAAAGAGTTTACATAGTATTATAAAAAATCGGTACAATATCTGATCTTCCAGTTTGTGATTTAGCTCCTATTTTTCAGTATTCATTCTATTATATATACAGTAGATCACTTTTTATAGAATTCTTTCCGCAGAAGATTTCCTTATCATCTCTCTTAATCATACATTCTTCTTTTATCTGTAACAATCTCACTGAAAATTATACAACAGGAAATCTCTTTCAAATTTTATATTAACTATCTACTGTTTTTCTTTGCATTTATATACTTTTTTTATTATATAAAATCATTGTGTGTGTGTACCTGTGTGTGAAGCATGCACACTCGCTTGTTTTTACTAGAGTTTTATGTACAATTAAACACACACGTTCTTGTTCCAAAACGCACGCGCGATGATATATAATTTAATCTACCTATTTATCATTTAATAATTTATATTTAATCTTCTCGGGACCAGTCACGTCGACTTAGGCGCGACGAAGCAAACATAATCGACGCCTATCGCATCTATCGACTTTTCGCACGTATGGCGATAAATTTTGATGTGGCGCATGTTCTCGAAAGTACTTTCCAAGGACATGTTTAACAAGAGTGCAAGAGCGAATCGTGGTGGGCCCGATAACGGGCAGGTAGGTACGGGGATACGTCGAGTCTTGGAACAAGTGCGATCGTAAATGTCGCTAACTTTAAGCCGGTTTCGACGCGAGTGGCGGCAAGAAGCTGGTACTAAATATGAATCATAAAAGAAGCATAAAGATAATTGTATGCTAATAGAGCGGGCGTATGCACCGCGTCGTCCACAATGGCTCGACGTTTCCCGTTATCATCCGTATATATCTGCTTTATATAAACACTTCGCATAGTTCAGTTACGTCATACGCAACGATATTGCCAATTTCGTGCGATCAACTTTAGCTAAGCAGATATCCTACCAGTGTGCCCGTGTGGAAAAAAAAAATAATATATACACTACTTATAACTAGATTATCCATTCTTTCTCTTTTTCTCTTCGTGGCCGCCGTTCGCTGATGCGCGCTCGTCACGTGTATTTACAATCACATCGCCATTATCTTCGTAGTTTCGCGGTGAGGAGACTTTGAACGCTCAGAATGTAAAATCAAACGTACAATTTGAACGGTTTCGCAGACTGAGTTTTTTTTTTGTCTGATACCAAGAGTTATTCAGTTGGTTATATTTAAATTTCGTTTCCTTTCCCTTAAAGTTTTGCTGCACAAATATCAAAATTAAGTGTAATTAAAATTATTTCTTGATATCAAAAGGATTCTTGTGATTTTATTAGATAGCCCCGAGGGCTTCTCTTTCTTTCCGTTCAGAGAGTACGCACTTTTCTTTGAGTATTTGATAAGGAACGAGCAGCGAGGAGGTAATACGGAGGCAATTTTTACGATGTAATATCGCAGACATTCTGTACGTCATAATAATGCTCTGCCCCTGTTGTAATACTTTAGAGAAGCGTGGCACGATCTCTTTGAAGCTCTCGCAAAACTTTAAATCTTTAAACAGTATACGCGAACTCATTAAAAGTTCTTTCCCAGAAAGGATAAAGCGGGGATGTATTGACGAAGTTGGTTTAGAAATATACCGAGTTTGCGAACATCGGGTGCTAGTTCGTGGCCAATTCTCTTTATCCACTGATGCAAGTAACATGAGAGTTTGACGAGCAGCAACACCGGTAGATAATCCGAAAAAAATACCGCATTAAAATCACGATTACGCGATCCCTCCTTAATCCAGAAATGATACCACTGCATACAGAAATAACGCAATTTTAATGGTTAATCCGTTTGACCCGTTTCAAAACTTCTCGTCACTATATAAATACGTTTTTCTTCGCCGCTCTGAGAACTATATTCGAATTTAAAATGTATTTTTTTTTTCGCTGCACAGTCGGAAAACTTTCTCCCCGTCGATCCAGATTCTACCGACGGAAACGGTCGAAGCACGCGGAAGTGCGTCCTCGAAACTTTTAAAAACGTCCGATGGAAATAAAGCAGCCGTTAAAACTTTCCAGGAGGGCACTCGACTGGCCGACCAGTGCGGCGGAGTAGGTCCGAACGGGCCGGTCAAATTTATTATTTGGAACAAAATCGACGCCGCTCCCGTGGTCCCTCGAGGCCATCGGCGCCAAGAAACGCAGCGGAGCGAATCGGGGGAAATAAGACGAACGCCGAGACTGCGGCGGATAGCTTTTCACGAGGTCGTGAATCGGCAACAGCGTGAAGGATCTCCTTGACCGTTTGCTAGCTCTCTGAGTTGATCGTCCCCGAGAGCTTTTACGGGTTTTGACGAGAGAGCGCCGTCACGATGTGTAAACCATGAACTCCTTCGACGATTCTTCGAATTTCACCCTCTCCCGCGCGGGAGAAACGGGAGACCGACGCGAAACGCCGGAGGTGGGCAACAGGATTCGACTGAAAGGCGAATCCTTTTTACGAGCTCGGATACATACGCTGAAAACCCGAAGGAGCGAGAGCACGACGACATTCCCCGCGTTCCCGTCTCGCAGTCTCATTGCAGAGTCACGAGTTCCCGGGCAAGTAGCGGGTGACACTTTCCGATTTTCCGAAAAACGCGCATGTGAGCTCCCTGGAGTATTGCCACTTTATTCACAGCTACTCTAATGTAAAACGTTGTAATTTAAATGTAGATAACGCGAACCTTCGCTGCGATACCAACGTGGATATTTAATACACGCGTAATACGTTCAAGTCATTCGATATGCGATAGCATGTCGAAAATCGAAGGTGATGACCTTTTCGTTAGATATGTATAAGGTTTGATCAATTCTTCTCGCAATACGATAAAACCTACTGTGATACGTCACACGTCGTGATATCCACCGCTTCGCAACCCTTTTCGCGAAACATTCCAAGATATTCTCTCTTCTCTGGACGTTTCCCCGTTCCGACTACCCTTTCAAGAGCACTCATGCAGGCTACCGAGTACTTCCATGTGTAGAGTACACATCGTACGCGCGGTAGATTGATTCGCTATTGGAGAATCGGATTCGACATTCCGAGCAGTTTCTGATCGAACGAGCTGGAATTTCGGCCGAATCATTATTGCTTTCGGTCATCGAGGCATAATTTCCATCGCAAAGGACTCCACGTTCTGTTGCCGATCATCACCACCAGGTGTATCGAGCCAGGTGGACGCGGAGAGTAGAGGTAGAATGAGAAAGACAAATTTAACATGAGCCTCGTTTGATGGTGGTATGTAAGGATAATTGATGATGTTACGGTTCATTGCTGACCTCTCTGTTACTCGACGCAGACAAATATTGACAGCTTTTGATCACAGAGCGGTGAGCAGTATCCTTTGTAATACGCGTCCCACGCACCCCTGCTTGATGTCTGCTCGATTTTCGTATCAAACCGCTGAGTTCATAGGTAAATCAACGTCCTCTCGACGTGTGTGTCGACTTGCTTAAATTAAAGCATCCCGACCTGCCCGCGTAAAACCTCGCATATAGATCGTACGCGAAATCGACTCCTCCGTGTCTATTGAATTCTTTGATACATCGCTCGGTGCCTCTTTTATAGCCAAAGAGCGCTTTCATGTTTCTGTAATTGAGATTTAAAAGCGATCGTTGCATTTAAATTGAGGATTATCGGTTCAAGAAACAAAATATTTTAACTTAAATCAATGCAGCGTGAAAGTTAATGTAGAAAGAAATTAACTAAAATGTTCGACACATCGACAAAGCGTCTAAAGAGAAACTTGAAAAGTAATTGGTCGCGACAACGGTGTAATTTTCGGATGATGTGATAGACGCGTCAAAGAGACCACGCAACGATTTCAGAACGCGTCGTAAGTTGCCTCCTCGCCGCGATCAAAGAGCTTTGACTCCTCGTTGAGAAGGAATCCGGTGAACATAGTTGCGGGAAACATAGTTTCGTAGAGGTCTGCGTCTGCATTGTTCGTCTTCGGCTAGTCAATGGGATCGTTCGTGTATTTGAACTTGCAGTAGACTTGTAGACGCAATTTGCAATTTACCAAGTAAACCGATATGTGACAAATCGAACAAAAGATTTTAGAGTATAATGGAAGGATAGCAAACAAAAACAACGGTTTGTTTACATTTGTAAGATATCAAATGTACTACTTATTAAAATTTTTGTACGATTAAATTAACTATAAATGTACATATGTCTGTATAAATATATATACCTATAACATACACATTCGGTTTTTTAATTTTCTTATAAATTGTCGATCAAGGACGTCCACATTTATTGGAACTGGCCAAGATTCACGGAACATTTGTAAGTCGGCATTATTCAGCCGGCCGAGTCAGAGGTATGTGGATACACAGGATAAAAGCGTCGAAAGCCCAACTGCCAAACCAACAATGTTGTACTTCTTTACTTACATTAAATCTACGCATTTTTCTCTCATACGTCTCTATACGTCTCTATATCAAATAATCATTTTTGCTCGTCGCTTAACAGATTCTTGCAGATTGCTATGTACGAAGTTCTTCTCTTCAAGAGAAGAGAACATTCGCCTGTAAACCGGTTGTTAACAAGTTCCGCAAAATTCAATTAGGCGATCTACGTGGCCCGCGGCGAATCATCTGCTTGTTTCTGACGAAGTCCGGGACGTTAATGTTCTTCTGATCCGCGTAATCGTTCGATCTAGAAGTTGCCGCTCCCCACCGGCGCCGGCGCTCGTGTTGTGCTGATAACGGCAGTTCACAAGTTTCGCGACGGCGGCCGAGCCTTTCAGGCGAACTCCTTCATCTCGGATTCGAGCTTGTTGATCACCCATTCCAACCCTTGTCGGCCCTCAAACGTAAGGAAAAAAAAAAGAGTTACATGCATCCGCGAAAATCCGTAAGTCCGTCGCGGAAATTTCATTTCAGCCAAGCTGTCACTCATAAACTTTTATGGAACGCGCGAACGTACGAGAAAGTTTTATGAGGCATTTTTTACGACACATCTTTGACATCGTTCGTTGAATTGAAAACGCGATAATAGTACGCAATGGAAAAATTTCTCGAACAGCCTGCATTCTTCTCGGAATGTCCCGCATTCCACTAGCTTTTGCCCGATAAAAAACACAAATTCTAGTTTACTTGAAATCGCACATTGACAATACACCAATTAATGCTGCCCGAAAGTAGAAAATATTTTAGAAAATAAAGCTCACACAATGGAATTATTAAAACATTTTTGAAATTTTTTGGATTTCTCAGAAAGGAGAGTACGAAATGTAATATATAAATATCTAATAGGAAATTATACTTACTTTACTCGCATTGAAGGAAATTTTTGAAGCTAAGAGATCCTCCATATAGTTGGTTAGTGGTACCCCTCTTACAGTCACTACAGCCTCTTGAGTGAGTAATGTCTTGTTAGGATCTTCCGGATGCGGCGTGTATTTGACAGCTTCGTCCACAGCGATGTGATTGCCAAAGGTTAACTGTAAAAAAGTAACAATAGCTGATCCGATTAGCGCAAACGTAGAACATTGTACAGGTAAAAAGTTGTAAAAAAATAATGCAAATATTTAGTAATTTTATTTTAATATTTTTTATCGGCAAAAATCTATTTCTTGGTGTATTACATTCGTGTCACGCTATAGCGTATATACTGCGTCATGAAACTTTCAAGATTTCTTTCGATTAGCTTCGTGCGGCAACTCGAGTTTCGGTCGTTTATATATCGACCATTGTTATGCACTTTGTGGGGTTAGCAACCCTCAGAGTAGATGAGTAGCCGGAATTATCGAGATGGAACGTTTCACAAAAGTGACATATCTTTGAATAATCGATGCCATGAAACAAGCTTGCAAACGAGCAGTTGCTCCTGTCTCACGGAACAAAAGCTCATCCGTGCTTATTCCATGCCTCTTCCTATGTAATTTTCTTGTTTTACTTGAAATTATTCAATGCAAACTTTCAAAAACAATGCTTTTAAAATGATTAAATTTTTTTGCGACTTTGACGAAATTTATTCGTAGAAGTCTAAACTAATCATCCAAACAGACTCAAGTAATATATCTTCGTGAAAATAATGTATAATTATATGATACGTACTTTAAATTTAAACTTATTATCTATTATCTTATTCAATTATGAAATCTGAATACAATGACTTTACGCGATATTATTGCGCTCCAACAAAAATTACTCACAAAAAGGATCGTGATACTGCAACTCCGCATCGAACGATCATGATGTATCGCAATCCCGCAACAGCACGTTGCCGCTGCAACTATATGCTATGCATACCTATTGTTATACAGCGACTAATTGAATAGGAAGAAGAATGCAGAAGATAACAAATCCAGAGAGCAGCATTGGGAGACCATCTCGAATTCATTACAGTGCGCCAGTGCGTAAACACGCGAAAGCGACAAACAGCACTCTGCGGAGCGATGTGCAGCGCGCTTTTGTTGCGTCGCAACACGTCGGTTGGTAGGCGAAGCGTGTTAAAGTGCAACGCCCGTCGCGTTGTCATCGCGCGCGGATTTGTTTCCTGCAGCGCGAGAGAAACAATCAACGCGCGCGTTGCTTGTGCGATAAAGGCGAAGGGGGTGGAAACGCGAGGTGGATTGAAAGCGACAACCGAACGCCTCGAGCTAGTTACCCCGAGGCCTAAAGTTTAATCTATGTCGCTGTCATAGAATTTGTACTAGCTAAAACGTATTTGCTGTTGGTGCTGTTATAGTCTTCGCCGCTGTAAATTTACGGCGAGAAAACCGTTCGCTTCGATCACTCGCATGCACGTCACGTGCGCGCGCGCCTTCCGGCGCTGTTCAATCCGAAAATTGCAACCGCGGCGGTGATTGTTTACTATTTTTCCTACCCATGACAAATGTAAACAATCTCGGTAACTCAATTTCGATGCGGCCAAGAATGATGAATTATATGAAATTGTACGACGAAGCAATTTTTGACATGATTAAAACATGTATTTTGTTCTCAGTTTGTTATTTCTGATATATACACAGATATTACCTCCCAGGAGATACAGATATTCTCTTCCAATTATACATTCGTACGTTGTAATTTTTGTCATGAGAGCAAGTCGGCACTCCAAAGGGTGAAGAAAAAAAATAATCGCGTTCGCGCGTAATACCGTTGACTAAATTGAACATCTAGAATAACTATACGCGGTGGAATGGGCCTTACGGTCTGTGCTCAAATCATTTTACACACACGGTCTCGTAACGCGTGAACACGAGGCCGGCGGAGGGCAACGTCATTATGAGCTCCGAGCGAGCCATCGCGGCGTAGCAGCGCTGTGAGGTGGAACAATTGAATCGCAGGGGCGCAATACGTTTCACGAGGAAATTAACGCCCGCGGCACATTGTGGGTCCGCGACCATCCTAGATATAGAACAGCGCGGTCCTCTGCTGCACTTCGCCATATTGGCAATCAGTGAAGCCGACTGTGTGTGTTACACCGTGGCCGTTCAGCTCGCTTCGCGGCACGACGGGTTTCCAACGCGCCGACGCGAGAAAGAAGAAACGAAAAATTAACATTACCCTGCGTTTCACGAGGCTCACGGATGGCGAGCCAGGAACAAAGACGTCGATTAAATTCGAGGGAAATGAAACGCCACGCACACCGACAGCGGAATCGCGTATACTGGATACGATATCACGATTGCGAAATTATATCGCGACGACGAGTTGATGCTGATTGATGGACACATACATAGATTATTTGATCCCGAGTTCTCTGTTGTAAACACGTAATTTTGCGATCTTGTAAGGAAGATAATTTCGAAATTTATGGAGTGTCGCTGATAGAGATACTCGTCTCGTAATTACGAAATCCTGAGAAATGTGTTCCACACGTATATCTACGATATTACGTTTACGAGAACATTGAAATATGAAGACAAGACACAATGCGGTAACCAGCGAAAAATGAAAAGGGTATTAAATTTCGCTGTTCTCGAGTAATGTATTCCTCGACAGTTTCCAGATCTGCCGCCAGTGTACTTCCAAGTATACACAGGTCATGGAATGCGAAGAAAGGGGAGGTCGGCAATTGAAGGGCTGTTACTAAAGTATACGACTGGTTATCTAAATAAGATACTGTTATTGCAGCTCTCGTTGCGCTGCGCCGTAACGGCAAACTCGCAAATGCAAAATACTAGCATTGTTGTTGCTACTATTATGCTCTGTATTTAATTTTCCATCGTGGAAAGAACATTACGTTCGCGAGTCGAGCACGTTCTATTATTTCCCGACTAGTAACATTGAATTTGAATATTTCTCGCCACGATTTCAGTATAATTGTTTTAATCAGTTAAATAACACTTTCTCATAACACAGTATATAAAATACTAACACGGTATATAAAATATGACATAGTTACTACTCTTACGCTTGTGTGAAAATATACTTTTTAAACGTCTGCGTCTCTACACTATACTATTGATAACCTCGAACAATTTAAGCATTGCAGCAGAAAGGATTTAAGCGCGGGGATGAACGTTTCAGACAACGGAAGAAAGACAAATGGAAAATAATATAATTGACGAGAGGGGTTTCATTGTCGCGTTTGTGACGAAGTGTAATCGTACTCCTGTTAAAACGAAGTTTTTAACCGCGACACGGGTAACGCTTTGTTTAATGCCAGGCAGAATCACAGCAATCCGGTTACATGAAAAAGCAAGCGTTTTTCTCTCAACTCTTATTGCAAATGAAAGAGAAGAGAGAGAGTAAATGAGTCACTTTTATATCCAAATAGTACTTATCCAAATGCGGAAAAAGAAACGTTTCAAGTTCTTTCTTTCAGAAAAATGTTCGAGAGAGAAATGTATATGTTAATGGTTGTACGTGAATTAAACTTGTAACCATTTAAGTACGTACTAACTGCGACAGTTAGTAACTAACAGTTTTGCACACATAAATAGATAATAATGTAACGCGAGATGATTGATGTCAACGTTGCAAATCTGTTCCGTGGATTTTTGTGTCTTGACACTTTGCTTCGCCACCTTTTTGTGGAACGAAAATTATCTTTTTTCTATAAAAAAAAAAAAACTCAGATTTATGCTAATAGCAGTTGTGCGTTCTACGTGGATGAAATTCAGCGAACATCATATTTAATTTCTATAGCGTATCCTCATGAAATAACCGCATTTCCCAGCAGAAATAAATTCTTTTTTCTCTCTCTCCGCGACGAATATCTAAAGAAGTTTACTCGCGCGCATGCGCCGACGTTCTTCGAACAACAAAATCATACATAATCTTTCTTGTCTTTGTGTTTTATCAACGCCTCGACATTGCGAAGATCGCGCGTAAATATCGTAAAAAGGAAAAAAAATGTACGACGACACGGAGGAAACGGGGACGGTGTGGAATCGACGAGATTTAATCGTATCAGTCGAGACGATCGATCGTCCCGTCAGCTGCGAATCTGTCGTTGACGCCGAAAGTAATTAATTTTGGCCTCTTTTTTTTCGATGCGACCGCGAAAAGCGGTGATGCGTCGTCGTGCTGGTGGCGAACGCGCGCAACTACGCGATGCCACGGATGCATCGGTTAATTGAAAATTTTTCTCGTCGCGCGTCGAAACCGATGTTTGCCAATCGTTCGGCCTCTGTGCCAAAACCCCTCGTTTGCTTTCCATTTACCGGCGAGCGTTGCAACGCGACCGCGCCCGTTTGATGCATCAAGCGAGACGCGCGCGAGATACCTCTCGGACGACTTCTGAATGGCAATCTTGAAAGCATTGTATCGATTTGCAGCGCGGCGCTTATCAGCAAAGTGCATTTTACAGTTTGAAGAAACAGTGACTTATTTCGTAAATTGAACTAGAGCGACAAGAAGCGAAGAAATGGTTGCAATACAAGTATTGATTCAATTTATATTTTCACGAGATTCATACGACAATGTGCGTTCGAGGGTACGTCATTATGAGCAGATACTTTTGTAATGTACACAATAGATAGCATCATAGTGAGATGGAAGAGAGATAACAATCTTTCAAGTCTTCGATGTATGAAACGTGGGTACATATCCATTTTCCCGTGATAGGCAGGCTCAGAAATGTTGACTTAAACTTTGCTAATTAAAACGACGTTGAATGATGAAGGAAAGGTTCTCTTCCCTGATCATTGTAGAGCACGCGTCTCTCTACTTCCCGATCGAGAATTTCCACGATTCCGTTTCACCCTTTACTATTACGAACAGAGAATGGAAGACTGCGGCAGAGCGAAGAGTAGTTGTGTGGAGTGCGAGCTCTCTCCTTCAACATGTACTCGCGAGTAATTAGCATCGCCGCATAATTGAGAGGACTTTGCGGATTTGGCTGCGCAAGCTGCATTGTTCGGGCCCGGTGTGTTCGCAATTCGCCCATACCAACCGATGCCTCGAGAGGGTTTCGCGGCCGGAAGCCCAAATCTGCCGGGCGGCACACAGCCTGTGGAAGCTGGATCGACCCCGATGCAATTCGGTT